TTGACTGAGCAGAAACATGCAGTACATGTTTTGCTTAGGATAATATGGCTAATTCCTTTGCTATTAGGTCTGGATAATAAAGGGCCATAACTAACACAAAGGAGACTAATAATAACTGTAGTTTAATAGAGGCATAGCATTCATGGTATGCATAACCAAGAATATAATCCCTCCCTTAACCACCTTTCCTCTTGGTACTTTGTAGGTCTTAGTTATGCCCCTGACAGCAGAGTTTAACTGTAATGTGTGCAAAATGAGGTTAACAGGTCAAGGATTAAATCTGCATTTCAATGGTCCAAACTCTGAAAGATGACTGATAGCTCCATTACAGCCACTTACCTGTGATCTTCTGTGACCAGTCAGTGTGAAGCAGTGTGTGACTGCAAATAACTCTTTCAGTAACATTTTACAGGTATGTTTTTTAATTACAGCTTTTACAATCATTATCATTATTGTTATCATATAATATTCAATTATCATCACTACTCTCCAATAATATGAATTTAAATCATAACACAATTTTAGTTTTTTCCAAAATGTACACATACAAGTAGCATAATCTTAAATGTCCATAATTTAAAACATATTTCCTTTTTCAACCTAAAATGAAATTACAGTCAGTCTTAAAACTAAGTATGAAATGAACGTACAGTTTAATACACACACATACATACTGTACATACATACATACATACATACATACATACATACATACAATAGCAGTTATCATAAAAAATGATAAAAATAAAATACACACGTTTTACAAAGTCCTGACCCAAGCTTTCACATCATTAGATGATTGATATCATGACGTTCACTCTAAAATGGTTGATTTTGGCATGCATATTAACACAAATGCTTAACTCTTTTTTTCCCAGTTTGAACAGGATTTTGTCATAAAGCACTTTGCTAATTGTCTCATTGTCTGTCCTATTCACATTTGTGCATCTCATATCGGTTATGGCTTAAGAACATACATTTCATTTCCCCTGTGTACACTTACATTCTCCCTTTGAATCCTCCCTCTGCCCAAACTGGACTGTACTGTGGTGTTACTAGGCAGAGTATGTTCTATTATCAGTCTAAATCATAGTAAGATCACCTGCAAGGATGTGTGTTGGGGTATCGGTCTCTTGAGCTGAACAGGAATGAAGTTTCCAATTTAAAAACTATAAATTAATTGTGTCAATATTGCCATCTCACACTCAAAAAACAGAAGATGTATTCACGATAGGCAATGGTCACTTTCTACAGGCCACTTTCTACAGAATCAAACAGCATCATGCCACAACTATGGATCAAGATGGAGTGAGAGAGAGAGAGAGAGAAAGAGAGAGAGAGAGAGAGAAACAGATGGATAAACAGACATTCACTCATTATTTTATCATCTTTTCAGAAATAAATCATTCACTCAGTGTCTTTGATTCTTCGAGACATTTGGCTCGAATGTTGTTGGTCATCTTCTAGTGTCCATTTTTGATTTTGATCCTCAGTTTTTTTTTCTTCAAAAATGTTTTTTTTTCCTTGGGTAAGGATGGGAGTTCTACAAAATGGAATAAAACAGACTTAAAGAAGCGTGATAGCCCCGGCTGAGATGTTTGATTTGGTGTTCACACAAGTTATTTTTAGCAACAGATTTTTGCTTTTCTCACCTGGTGTGCTTATCTTTTAGCAGGAATATGTTCTCACGGACCCCGACTCTCCTCTTGGACCAGAATTTACTGACAGAGAGAAGAAGGTAATTAGTGAATATAACAATGAACACAACACAATCAATGTGGAACAATGAGACAAACATACCTAAAGAATATTTGGACGTTTGGAAGGCTTTTTTAGTCCTAACTATACTGTGTTGGTATTTGCTTCTGAAACGCAATGCTTGTTGAGGAAATTCATTTCAACAACTATGTATGAATAAAACAACATGTTTGTAGTTCTGCCAGCAGAAGATTAGCGTAGCTTAGCCAGAAAAAGGGGTAAACAGCTAGCCTGGCTCTGTCCTAAGGTAACAAAATGAGCCTGAAAGCTCCTCTAAACATGTTAATTGGTGAGCTAGTGAGCTTATAAAGCTAATTGTTTCCAGTTTTCTTGCTAAGCTAAACAACTACTGGTGACTTTACGATACAGACAAAACTGTCCAAAGGTTTATTTAAAGTCATGGTTTATAGACTCGTATGTCACAGGCAGTTTCCACGTATTTATTATCTGGCTGTTTATATCTGACTGACATGTTCAAGTTGCCCATAATATCAGATAGTGTTACTGAAAGCACCACTTAACAGATGTTCACAAAAATTCCATTGGTCCGTTGTTAAGTGGACATGGAAGAATCTGACATTAAGACAAGCTGTCAGTGTAAGAGTTCACTGTAATTCCTGTATTTTCTCATATCTAAAAGTCCAACCTCTCTGGGAGGGTTGGAGCATCCCAAAATCAAAATATAAAATAGCTGAAAGAGATAACATAACCCAAAACCCACATGACTCTTTTCACAATAGGCGTGTTTGTATGTTGTTTCTGTTTTGGGAATAATTTTCTCACAACACAGTTTGTGAATACAATATAGTCAAAATCTCTGATTTTGAAGCGTCAC